CTTGCCCTTGTCTCTGTCTTTAAGGGATGTGTGTTAAGTTTGGTAGAGTGTTTTACCCAAAGGGTGAGAGGCAGGCAGGATGTTGCTCAGTAATGCTCTAATCTGGGTTCTGCACCTAGCTGCAACCGGGACACAGTTTTTTGACGCCTCTTGACTTACTCTGTAAGACCAAGGAGACTTCCAGAGTGACAAGCCATCCCCCTCATCCCGGAACCCCCGCTCTCGTACCTGCAGCACGTTGGGGTGCCGCAGCCGCTCCAGCAGCACCATCTCCTTGAGCAGCTTGTGGGCCGCCAGGCGATAGCAACCCCTTCGCGCCCCGAACTCGCGCACGCAGCTGCCCAGATCGTGGCCGCTGAAGTCCACTGCTTTGAGCGCCACCGCGGCGCCGCCGGGCAGGCGGACCCGGTACACAGCCTTAGTGTAGCCTGAGCCCACGTACTGCGCGCCAGACACGTTGCGGAGCGCGGCGCAGCCCAGGCGCGGGCCCGGGCCGGGGGAACCCGGGCCGGGAGCAGGGGGCCAGCCCGGAGCGCCGTCGGGCGGGGACCGGGCCCGCGGGGGCCGGGGACGCTGCAGGCCCGGCCCTCCCGGAGCCAGGTCCATCAGGCGCCTCCGCTCCGGCCGGCCGGCTCCCGGCCCGGGGCCCCCGCGGGAATAGCGCTGCACCTCCTCGTAGCGCGCCCGGATCTGCCGGGCCAGCTCTCCACGGCCGCCGCGACGGCCCGGGCCCGGGGCTGCCGAGGTTCCCGGGGACTGGCCTGGCCGCGGAGGCTCCGAGCCCGGTGCGAAGAGCACGTTGAGAACGGAGCCCAGCAGGAAGGAGGCGCAGAAACCCGCGGCCACGGCCGCCCGCCGGCGCCGCATCGCTCCCCTCCCCCTCGGCCGGCCGCGCGCGGTTCCCCGGCCCCGGCCCCGGCCCCGGGCGGCTCAGGCTCCGAGGCGACTCCGCTTCGCGCCGCGCCGGCCCCCTGCCCAGCCCGCGCGCATGGCCCGGGCAGCCCCGACCCCGGCCCCCGGCGGGCGGCACATCGGCCTGACACTTGCCTCCCTCCCGCCCTGCCCCCGCCGCTTATAAGGCCCGGAGCCACCCCCCCCCAACCCCACCCCACCGCGCGCGCCCGCCCCTCCGCCAGCGCCTCCCAGCGCCCGGCCGAGCCCGTCCTCGGCGCCGCCCCCTCTGGCCGCCCGGGCCGGCCTTCCCCCGCTGACTGACAGCGGGGACCTCCTCCCGCGGCCAGCCGGGCCTGGGAAGCGGCGCGGAGGCGGCTCCGGCCCTGCCCAGCGCGCGGCCTCCCCCGAGCTCAGGCCGGGGGAGCGGGGGAGCCGGGGAGAAGGGGGGCGGGGAGCGGGGGCGGCGAGCGGCGCGCAGGGGGTTCCAAGCCCGAGGCGAGGCGGGATAACGGGACCGGGAGGCCTCGAGCTGAGCTGGCCCGGCAGGGTGCGGGGGAGTTGGAGGGGCGAGGCCGGCGGGTAACGGGCTCCGAGGGACGAGCCAACCAAGCCTGGGTGCGGGGGATCACCGGGGTGCACGGCTGCCTCCTGGGGAGGGGGTCGATCGGGGCTTTGGGGCTGGGCGCCCGGGAGGGCGCAGGGGTCCCGCCTTCTGCGGGTGAGGCTGCTCTGGGACAGCCCGGGTTCTGGGTGTGGTGAAGGGCGGCGGTCCGGGGAGGCGGCCCGGCACCTGCGAGAGCGCGAGGGGTGGGGACTGTGGTCTCAGAGTTAATCATGAGGTTTCAGAGATGTTCTGTTCAGCTGCCTTCTAGCGGGACTTTCTGATGTGCCTTGTCCCCGAATCCCCCCACATCTAGACAGACGAGCTCCACCCCCATCCCGGAGATTCCCCGATCTCTGACCCGCCAGTAGGGGATTTGGAACCGTATACAGCGAGGGCCTCGGGGTCCACGCACGTCTGTCGGCGGAGTGTGTGCACCCGCGTGTCTGGAAGGGGCTACTGTGTCCCCAGGAAGGGAGTGTGTGCGCCCTGTGTCTAAGTTGGTGCTGACTCCATCAGAACTTCTGGCTCCTCCTCCTCTCTCCCTGATTGCATCATTAGTGCTAATTGAGGGGCTTTCACACGCCAGTGCATTAGCTGTTTGGAGTGAGCTCCCCCCTCCTGCGAGATAAGCCGCTGCCCCTCCCCCTCGCAGCTCTCCGCTTCCCTAGGGCCCTGAAACTGTCCACCGAGGTCCTCTCACCTCCTCGGGCTCCCTCCAGCTTGCCTCTGGACAGGAAAATCTCTCTCTTCCGGCAGTGTCAAGGATAAGCGGAGGACTCCCGGTGGGGGTAATGCTTAGGGTGGGGGAGGAATCTAGAACCATCTTTCAGAGGGGCTTTCTAGGGAGAGGAGTTTTTTCCCTTAAGAGGTCTCACATTCCTATCGAACGCAGGGAGGGAGGGAGGGTCTCTGCGATTAAGAAAGGGAATAGAAATTTCTGACTAGTTCTTTTGAGCGTGGAAGGGGAGAGGGGCAAATTTCTTATGCTTAGCCTGTGATTCTGTTGAGGCAGGCCTTCTGGCTTCGACTCTGTGGTCCCCCAAGACTCAGAAAGTGGGGGCCACGCAGACGTACTCGTCATGGGAAAGCCAGGTTGAAGGAAGCCATGATTCCCCCTGAGAGATTTGGGTTTGATGGAGTCCGGTCTATCGGTCTGTTCCTGTTTAAGCTGCTCCACCCCGCTCTGGCCCATAGCAGCCGGGAGTGTGTGTGTGTGTGTGGGGGGGGGGGGGCTCTGAGCAGATGCCCTCCCCAGCCCTCACACCAGATGTCTTTGGTCTAATTAACTGTGCTGAGAAAACCAACCTGGGTTTGTAAACAGAGCTACTGGCTAAAGTCAACACGGAACAGCAGCAAACAGTAAACAGTCCCCTTACACTCAGCCTCAATCGCGACCAGCCCCCCCCCCCCCCAGGGAAGAATGGGAGCCGGGTGGATCAGAATTCCCCTATCTGCCTGGGTGACCCCAACTGACATTCCCTTACCAGTCCCACAGTGTCTCCTCAAGAAGTGTGAGGACCAGCTGCCATCCCCAAGATAGGTCTGTCTGCCTTCCAGCAATTTGACAACCTGGCTACCTAGCCAAACATGGCCATCTTCGAGAAAGTCATGGTGGGGGGGGCGGTGGCATATTCCTTGAAAAGCTTTCTTTGGATCCTCTGCATGTTCATGTCTTGGAGAAGCCTGGACAGGGAAGGGATTTGGTATTGTGAGTGTAGGACTCAGAGTTAGTGAATATAACGTGAACATTGTTAACTTCATTACACATCGTGTAGGTATTATAATAACATGTTCTGAAATTAGATAATTATTCCTGTGATATCTCTGCCAAGCTTTGGTGCTTCTGTTATGGTTTGAAAGTTCAGTGCACAACAAGGGCCAGAGAAACAGGCACAAATGTACATATGGTGCACACCCAGAAGCCATGAAAACAGGAGCCTCGCATACAGAAACAAAGACCCTTCAACTGTGTGGCCTTACATTTACGGCTTCCCTCAGCCCTCACTGGGACACACGGACACACACGATCACAGATGGAAATAGGACTTTGGCTCCTAAAAGAAAGAGATCGAACCTTTGGAACTGACAGTTCTTAACCAAATTTTGATTGTTTGCTTTTTGTGTGTGTGTGTGTGTGTGTGTGTGTGTGTGTGTGTGTGTGTGTGTGTGTATGCCACCCAGAGAGAGGAGTTATTTCAAAGAACTGGAAAGCAGGAACACTACGTGAAGCTCCTGTTCCCTCATCTATGTTTGCCCAGCCATGCAAAGAAAGGCCAGGCAGGGCCCACTCCACAGCCTGGGCCTCACAGGCCGGTATCCAGCCCAGAGCCGGACACTGTTTCTCAACACAACTTCAGACAGCGGCGTCTACTTGTTCTTACTCTTTCCCCTACTAGGAGTCTTTCGACCAGCAAATAGCTTAACAAGGCTCCATGCTTTAGACTCACTATTTTTTTTTTTTTTTCTCTTCCCTTCTTCCCACTCGAATTCAACCAACTAACCAGGATACCAGTGCTTGGGAAGGAGGCAGCTGGCCTAGACTCCACAAGGCTCTTTTCCGGGAAGTGTCTCCTAGCTCCTTTCTTTCTTCCTACCATCAGACCCTCGTGGGGTGCCTGTATGGTACTACCCTTTTCCTTCCAGCCCAGGTCCCTAACACCTTTGGTGGAGTGTTGCTTTTCCTGCGGCTGAAACAAGGATGGACTGAACTGGTAATTCAGGCTTCCGAGAGCTTCTACCAACTCTCCATACAGCCCGCCTCCCTACCTTTCCTTCCCCTCGAAGAAAGCCACATCCCCCAGCCTGAAGCAGGTGCGGCCTCTTGGCCACCCTCAGCCTCTACCCATGAGCCCCTTCTCTTCCAAGTCTGCTTTCCTGGAGTGTCTTCTCCCAGCCCTTCCCTCCAGTGCCCTCAGCTGCTTCTTCATGCTTTTCCAGAAAGTAGTGAAGCTGGAGACACTTCTGTAACCAGGATGAATAGGCTCTGGAGGGTGTATTCTTGGATTCCTGTGGCTTTATTTCCTTTAAGAAAATGTCCAGAGTCCTTTGCTCAGGTCTAGGAAAAGTTGTGTAAAGAACTCTGGATTTGACGTCAGAGATCCAATCCCAGTTGAGATTCCCCAGTGTGTGCAATCTAGTATTAATGATAGCAAATGAACATATTTTTGAGGTGTTAGACAGCGTGGTTGGCTGTGGTTCTTCAAGGCAGAGCTGATTTCGACCCCCTTTGCCCCCTGGTTTCCACCAGAGAAATTGCTTAGCCGTCCAGGCTCCCTTCGACTTTGGAGTATTCACTTTTCCCAGAACCAGCAGACTGGCAAGCAGCTCATCAGAAAGGCCCTTCTCCACACACCATGAGTTCACAGAAGGCCTGGGTTCAGCCCTCTGATGCCACAGTGACCAACAGCAGGCTTCAGCCTCAGCTCTCTCCTCCTTGGAGCCAGGCACTCAGGGAGGGGGGTGGTGCTGCTTTCAAAAGGATGGAGGGTGGGTGGGTGGGTGGGTGGGGGTGGGCACAGCTAGGCAGCCCATTCCTCCACCTCCCTCAGGTAGGAAGTGAAACTGACCTTTCAAAAAACAAAACGAAACAAGAACAGAAACAGATGATGGAGGTCGGGTTTCTGATGTACAGGACATAAGGGAAGCCCAAGACAGACTCCCCCAGAAGTTATGGGAGCTAGGGGTGGGAGAAATGAGAGAGACTGAACGGAGATAGGGAAAGATGCAGAAACACAGGCCGATAAAAGCTGGGAAGGGAATCTCGCGAGGGGGTAGTCAAGACAAAATGGAGAAAGCTGTGCTCGGGAGAGACAGCAGCTTTCTGGAGAAAAGCTTAGCTCCCTTGGCTGGGGCTCTGCCTGGAAACTTGAGTCCCTTCAGCCCTATAGCTGTGGCAGCGGGCAAGGCCCTCTCTCAACCCAGGAACCGAAAATGTGCTGAGGGCTCCTGGTGCTCCCACAGCTTGGCGGGCTTAACATTTGTCTCCTCAGCACCAGGGCCCGAGCCGGTGGCTTCCCCTGCAGTTCTTGTCTAGGCCCAGTTCTTGGCAGCTGCCTGCTTCCTACTCAGCTGCACCCACTGCTCAGGATGCCTTGTGGTGATCTCTCCTTCCCTCCACCTTCTGGCTTTCCAAGACTGTGCCCGCTGTGACCGGACTCTCTCTGGTACACGTTACCTGAGAGAAATTGTGAGGGGTTGACGTTGGGCCTGGGACCTTGAGCCGAATGGTGTAGCAGGGGTGGGGGGTGGGGGTGGGGGTGGGAGGGTGGGAAGGGAGAAGAACAAGAGCCAAGCCGCAGGGCTTCTGTCTATCCCGGGCAGATGGAGTGGTGAGCAGAGAACCAGGGAGTTGGCCATCCATAAGTGGCGATGGACAGACGGTGGCAGGAGCTGGTGAAACAGGGTTCCTCGTGGCTTCCAACAGCCGGGTCTGGAGGCATGTGTGCAGGTAGTGACTAGAGATAGCACATCACATCATCTCTGACCAACCAATGCTCCTTGAGTAGATAGAGAACTGTTTCTTCTAGACCATGATCAAGGAGAAGGAATCCTCTCTCTCTCTCTCTCTCTCTCTCTCTCTCTCTCTCTCTCTCTCTCTCTCTCTCTCTCTTCTCTCTCTCTCTCTCTCTCTCTCTCTCTCTCTCTCTCTCTCTCCTCTCTCTCCTCTCTCTCCTCTCTCTCCTCTCTCTCTCTCTCTCTCTCTCTCTCTCTCTCTCTCTCTCTCTCTCTCAAGATAGGGTTTCTCTGTGTAGTCCCCGGCTGTCCCAGAACTAGCTCTGTAGACCAGACTAGCCTCGAACTCACAGAGATCTGCTTGCCCCTCTCTCTCAAATGCTAGGATTAATGGCATCTGCCACCCCCACCCCCCAGCTCTATGAATCCGTTCTCTTTGCTGCAGCTTGGGGAGTGCAGGGGGCAAGTGGGGGTGGGCGCTGAGTATGCATCTGGCTCTAAACTTATAGAGGATGAACAATTCTCTCTCACCTGATCCCTTCTTTGTCCTGGGGGCACACAGGAGGAAGGCGCTACTCCTAGTCAAGAGAGTCTTGGCTCTGTGGCTCCTCTCAGGAGTTTACAGTGGACTTGGGAAGATTCATCCCAAACCATTAGGGCCTGAGTAAAGAAGAATGTGGGAAGTCGAGGGCAAAGGACAGAAGGATGGGCAAGAGCTATGCTGCCTGATCCTGATGGAGAGCTGGCATGTCGGGAGGGCCTGCTCTGAACCAGGAAAGGCCCCGTCTCCCTGACACATACCATGAGGTCAGAATGGGTGTTCATTTTGTAGATGACAAGGCTTGAGGGTTTGGGGGATCTGTCAAACTATCCAGCCTTTGTAAGCAGCAGTGGACCCTGACCCAGATTCTGAGACTTTCCTCAACTTTTCATTTGTTTTTAGGGGGAAAAAAAAATCTAGTCAAAGGGAGAGGCAGAGAGGAAGGCATCCATGGAAGCCTAGGCAGAAGTTCATTAAAGTCACTTTTGCCTCCAGGTAACAAGGTTTGGCCATAAAGATTTATTATTTTATTGTTCTTATTAATACTAATGATAGAGCACACTTATTAAATGCGTTCCATTATCATATAATCTGCTTAACAACTGTAGGAGATAAACGCTATCATTATCTCCAATTTTCCTGACGAGAGAATTGAGGTGAGAAGGCGAGGTGAGGTGCCTGAGACAGCAGTCAGGAGTCAGAGCCCGAGCTTGGGTGTGGAGGCCTCTGACTATGGAGGGTCTGCTGCGGATTCCCTCTTGGGGCCTGTGTTGTAGCTCACCACCTGCCTGGGCTGAGCTGATTTCCGCAACAGAAATCCCAGGGACAGCCTGTCCAAGCCCGGAGCTGCCATCTTGGTTAGAAGGTAAGTGTGTGGTGCTCTGTGGTGCTGTGGCAGCATTTAGAGGAGAGAGGTGAGTGGAGTCCTTCTGGAGTGAGTAGCTATGGGGACAAAATGAAGGGGACAGGGGTGCCTTGAGGAGGTTCTGCAATTGAGAACCAGGCTGACTGAACTTGTATGTTGAGTCCTTCAGAAACCCCAGAGGGTTCTGTAGTCTTTCCTCCCTCCCCTTTTCTGAGGATGAGGGGGAACGAACTGATCAGAAAGGATAGTCGACAAAGGGTTAACTTGGCTCTGGGAGTCTGTGTGGAATTAAAATAATTATTTGAAAAATTCAGAAAAAGCACACACACACACACACACACACACACACACACACACACACACACACAGAGGAAGTAAAAATTACACAAAATCCCTCCATTAAAGGAGATTACCTATAGGAAGATGTGAGGGACGTCCTGCCTGCTCCTCCAGCCCCATCTGCAGAGGTGACCAGTGTGACCCCCCACCCCCACCCCCGGGGATGGTAAAGGCTCCCACAGATATCTCAGGACTCTTGATGTTTCCAAGCTCAAATCCCAGTCCTGGGCTGTTCAACAACAGCAGCAATAACAGCAGCAGCAGCAACACCACCCAGAAAAACTCAAAACGAAAACCTGTCATTGGATTTTGCCCCCCCTCCCTTTTTTCTTTATCGCCATTCTCCAGAGCTGGGCCCTTCTCTCACATAATGCTCCCAGGATTGGGTCTCTTCCCACCTCAAAGCAAGCATGGGCACCAGATTCATCTGCCAGGAACACTGTTTCGAACACGTCATTTTCCTGCTGGAAAAACATCTTTGATGACTCCCCATCATTTGGAGAGTCATTTAGCTGGCACTTACAGTCAGGAGCAACCTACCTCTTGGATTCGAGTATGCACCAGTACTTCCTGACTCTGAGTGGCAGCCCAGCTGGTGGCTTCCCCAATCTTAGGAGTTCTTCTTCGTCTCTCTGATAGCTTATTCTTCCCCATACGCTGCCACAAGTGACCCAGGGCTGGGACTAAACTTCGTTTTCTCTTTCAGCTTTGACTCCCTGTAGAAGTTAAGAACAACAGGACTTGAAGTTCCGCCTGTGTTCACCTGCCCCTGCTTAGCCCTGCATCTTGATCATCTGCTTTGAATAATGGAGTCTCTGCCCTGTGGCATTTCTTGACATATTCTCTCTCTAGCCTCTTTTGGTTTTTTGAGACAGGTTTTCTCTATGTAGCCTTGGCTGTCCTGGAACTCGCTCTGTAGACCAGGCTGGCCTTGAACTCACAGAGATCTACCTGCCTCTGCCTCCCGAGTGCTGGGATTAAAGGCATGCGCCACCACCGCCTACCTGACATATTCTCTTTTTGTTTTGTTTTCTTCTGATTAGGTTTTGCTTGGTAGCCCAGACTCGCCTGGAACTTGCTGTATAGCCAAAAATTAGCCATCCGCTTTACTCTGCCTCTCAAGTGATGGGAGTACAAGTGTGTACTACCACACTCAGCCAGTCTTGACATTTTTTAAAAAAAAAATCTTTCCATGTGTGGTGGTGGTGGTGGTGGTGGTGGTGTGTGTGTATAGGTGAATGTGGAGGTGCATGTACACGGTGCATGTGTAAAGGTCAGAGGACAACGTTGGGTGTCAGTCCCCTGTCCATCTTGTTTGGGACAGGGACTGTGGGTACTGCAAGCTAGCTGGCCAGTGAGGGAGTGTCCAGGGATTCTCCTGACCCAGCCTTCCATCTCCCGGTAGGACCTCTGGCACTACAGAGTGCTACTTGGTAAAACGATGTGGGTCCTGGGAATTCAAACGCAGCTTCTCATGAAGATTTTTCTCCCAGAGTCACCTCTCCAGCCCCAAAGATTCTTGATGAAAAGAAGACCATCGGACCTTCCCTTCCGTTGCAACCTTCTTATTTCTTAGCGGTTGGAAACAGTCTTCTTGGAAACAGGGCCTCTGGTTCCTTGGCTCTCCCCTTCCCTTTGCCTCCAGAGCCCTGCTGAGGCCCCAGCCCTTCCCAGGGTAGCAGGGTGGGCTCCTTTCCTGTACCCAGCTTCCAACGTCATCTCATCAGACAGGTCTCCTCTGGCCACTGTCTATCATGTCGCTCTGCTTTTATGTCCTCAAGATACTGTTTTCTGAAATGGCCACCTCCGTCAGCTTTCCTTGTCTGCCTCTAGCCTCCCCTCACAGGAATGCAAGCACCATGAGGTTTGGGTCTGTATCTTGTTCTCTGGTGTCTGTTTCAAGCTCCAAGCAGTTATGGTAGAGATCTTTTGCTAGTAAATTTGAACGCTTCTCCTCCCAAGGTTTGGGCGGCCTACATCTAGTAACCCCGCTTGTCTTCTGAATGAGCGACGTCAGTCATACATTACAGGCTAAACAACAAATATATCCTCACCAATGGGAAAGCAACCACAAAAACCTCTTTTGTCTTAGCCCAAACCAGCCTCCTTACTGACTGAGCCTAGCTCCCTGACACTGTGACCTGTGGTTGTTCAACTGAGCGGTGTCCCATTCCCTCAATGCTCCACTCTGTGACTTTAAGGTGACAATCAGTTAATCCAATAACAGAATCCTGCTAACGTGCTAATGGGAAAGGGTGGGGAAAAAAGGCTCCTTGCTCCCTCTCTTCTGACTCAGGTAACATCTGTGCATTTAACAGGGCCCTTCTGGAGACAATTAAATAAATGCTTTATTGAAACAATAAAATTAATAGGGGCCTCATGGAACTCAATGAAAGGTTTTTAAAAATTAACTTCATTGTATTTTTAAGCTCTAAAACAAGCTGGGGGAGGCGGGGCTTGGGGTGGGTGAGTGGGTTAAGGGCCAAATTTTCGTGAAACAGATCCCGGACCAAACCTTGAATGCTTGGAGGGTTGGAGACACAATTACTCACTTTCCCTGTGGAAGGGGTACTTTGTTCTGGGGTATCTGTCTCTTATAGGATCTTTGAGCAACAGATCTGGTTTTATCTTTGGGACCATGTCACTTTATACATTGATTAATTTCAGCCTTTTTTTTTTTTTTCCAGCGTAGGTTATGTGTCTCATGAAAAGAAATGCCACAGTGATGGTTGTCACGTTGAAGGGGTGAAATCGCGAACACTGGGACAGGCTGGGTGTGGTGGCTTATGTGTCTGCAATCCTACTACCTTAGAGGCTGAAGTGGGAAGATTTTGGTGAGTTTGAGGCTAGTCTGGGATATGTAGTGAGTTTTAGGCCAGCCTGGGCTACTGTGTGAGACTGTCTCAAAACCAAACCAACCAGCAAAAATAGCCAAACCCCATAAGGCACCCATTCTGCCAGGAAATAGGTGAGACGTTCCCTTTCCTGGTCTTCATTTGTTTGTATCTAGGTCCATCCGCCTCACTTGGCTGTCTGTCCACAGAGCTCATCCTAGCTCATCACCCACAGTTATCCCATTTCTCTAGGAACTGTGTTTGACCTCAGTAAAGGTCACGGTCAGAGTTCGTCAAACCAGAACCTGAGACCAGAGGTTTCTGGCAACCTGTGGGTAGTTCTTCTGGTGGGGGAAGGAACAGGTGTTCTCTGGGACAGGATTTCCTTATGGGTCTGCTGGGCTTGGAGGGAGGGGAAGGAGGGGTGTGAGACCCCAGACCGGGAAGTTCTCTTGGAAGATGCAGCTCCCTGCCTGGATGGATGGAGCTGGCGTGAGACTGTCTTCAGGATTCCCCAATATTCCCATCAAGGTAGCACACTGATTCAAACCATCTGGGATGTCTGAGTAGACTTAGATTCCAACCCTGAGCTCCTGCTGTACGCCCCCTGTGAATGTGAGGGGAAGGCTGAGAGTATGGTTCAAATCCCAGTGGGTCTTTTCCCTGAGCCCTGGACTTCTTGCCCCCTCCCCTCATGACTCAGGGCATGTGTGGCCCCGGCCCCTCCCTTCCCCTCACCTGAGCTGCCAACAGTCAGTGGGAAGACTTCTGGGGGGGAACGGGGGGGGGGGGGGACGGGGGACGGACGGATGGGACTCAGAAGGTGCCTGTTCCCAGCTGTGCCCTAAAGTGCTCCTGTGACTTGGGGCAAATGATTTGGCCTTTTCGAGTCTCAGTTTTTTCATCTACAAAATGGGAGTACAGACACCTGCTGCGGTTCTTTTGAGGATCAAATGAAGCACAGGTGTGAGCCACTTTGAAGTGCATGAAAGGGGGCAGAGGCTGCCTTTCATTGCCGGTGCACACCTCAGGAACCCACCTTCCTTCCCCCAGGACTCAGTTCAGAACATCTTTGGTCCTTGGAAAGGAGAAGGAGGATTTGGGAGGGTTTCATATAATTCCTTTACACCCCCCTGAAAGGCAGCCTCTGCCCCCTCCCCTGCGCCCCGTTCACCCACCCTCTTGTCTCCCAGACTGACGATCCTGGAGGTGTCTGCCGCTTGTCATTCTTTTATCCCCTCGCATCTATGCTGTCAGCATGGCTTGTTTCTTCCTTTGAAGTCTAGCCCGGACTCACCTTCGCTTCCTGGTCTCACCGTCATCACCACCACCACCACCTCCATCTAAACCATCATTATCCGGGCTTCTGTGTGAGCACCCCAGCGTTTCTCTCTGGTTTCACCCTTCCCTCCCTCTGTGCTTTCCTGAACGGGGCTGCTCGCTCCCGGGGTGGGGCTGACGCTTACTAAACCGAACCGCTCTCCCCCTACGGGTTTCATCAGGGCCACATTCTCTGCGCGCTGGAAGAGTCCCAGAGCCTCTCTGGTCCTCCGTTCTTTCCTTCTGCCTTTTCTAACAGGTCCTCTGCCTAGATTTCCCTCTACAGCCAGACTTAGGTCCTAAGTGTGCTCAGGAAAAAGCTCAGCCCATTCTGACATCTGCGTGGGTCCCTTACCCGCAGGGCCTGGGAGCACCTTCTTGTGGGTCCCTTACCTGCAGGGCCTGGGAGCACCTTCTTGTGGGTCACTTATCCGCAGGGCCTGGGAGCACCTTCTTGTGAGTCCCTTACCTGCAGGGCCTGGGAGCACCTTCTTGTGGGTCACTTACCCGCAGGGCCTGGGAGCACCTTCTTGTGGGTCCCTTACCTGCAGGGCCTGGGAGCACCTTCTTGTGGGTCCCTTACCTGCAGGGCCTGGGAGCACCTTCTTGTGGGTCACTTACCCGCAGGGCCTGGGAGCACCTTCTTGTGGGTCCCTTACCTGCAGGGCCTGGGAGCACCTTCTTGTGGGTCCCTTACCTGCAGGGCCTGGGAGCACCTTCTTGTGGGTCACTTACCCGCAGGGCCTGGGAGCACCTTCTTGTGGGTCCCTTACCCGCAGGGCCTGGGAGCACCTTCTTGTGGGTCCCTTACCCGCAGGGCCTGGGAGCACCTTCTTGTGGGTCTGCTAACTCTCCAGACTGTACGACCCAAGCTCGTCCCCGGTTCCCACCCCCTCAGACCTGTCTTAGGACTTTGTCTCATGGGATGATCTGTTCATATTCTTACTGCTTGCATCAACAGGACTGATTTAGTATCAGCTCTCACCTCCCGCTTCCCTGTCATGCCTCATCAAAGGCCCGAGGGCCCGGTAGAATCTTCGTTGAGAAGGTGGATCAGGAGTTCTGGCTTGGCGCATGGAACCGGGCCTAGGAGAGTCTGTATTCAAGATTTTTTTGGTTCCTCTCTACCCTCCCCCTACCAAATTGTGCTCTTGAGAATCTCCCCCCTGCTATGTCTCCATCCATCAGTAATAAAGTAGGAACAATAGGGGTTTCTTTCTAATTAAAGGGAGCAGTTAGTGTTTCCACTTCAAAGCCCTGAGAGAGAAGATTTTTGTTCCTCAGGCCCGGAGTCTGGGAACCCAGTCGGGTTGAGAAGCGGAGCTCCAGGCCCAGCCAAGCATTAAACTCGTGAACCTGAGATCCCCCCATCTGCAGGCAGAGGAGCTCAAATTTAAAACAACAACGTAATTTGGTAACTTGGGCTCTGATAAAACAGTTGGGGGATTTCTTCTCTCTGAGCGTCTGAGGCCAATGTTATTACAGGTGTGTGCTTGTCTCTCCCACACCCTACCCTGCCCCTGTTGCCCCAACACACACAGCACACACATGTGCCGTATCCTGCTCTCTCATGGATGTGGGAGTCACAAAGCACACGTGGTACACACTTAGTGTGTTCCAAGCCTTGCTCCCATTCCCAGGCATTCCAGCCCAAACTCTCCCAGTTACTGTTACCCATCATCCCTCACCCCTAAATGCCTAGGACTGAAGGACTGTAGTTGAAAACTGAAAGTCAGCTTGCCAGGAATGTGTTCTCTTTCTCCTGGCTGTAGGCTGATCACCAACGCAGGCCACACCGCTAACCAACTGGCTCACGCTTCTGGCCACAAACTGCAGTCTCCAAGTGGCTGTGCTAATCACTGCCTGTTGGGACGGAATACCTGAACAAAGCGACTTACAGCCAGGAAGGTCCGTTTTGGCTCCTCATTGTATGAGCTTTCAGGCCATGGTCAGTTGACTCCATGGCTTTGGACCTGAGGCACGGCACCATGAGCTGTCATGGTGACAGAAATGCGCAGTAGGGAAGGCTGCTCACCTCAGAGTGGCTAGGACCAGAGAGAAGAGGGGAAGGAGGCAGAAAAGGAAGACACACACACACACACACACACACACACACACACACACACACACACACAGAAAGAGAGAGAGAGAGCGAGAGCGAGAGAGAGAGAGAGCGAGAGAGAGAGAGAGAGAGAGAGAGAGAGAGAGAGAGAGAGAGAGAGAGAGAGAACTTATAGGGCATATCCCCAGTAACCTACTTCCTCTAACTAGGCTCCACTTCCCAATAGTTTGCCATCAAATTACGACTGAAATGAATGCTAAGCGGCACTGGTGGCGGCATGGAAAGGTCATGGTCACGATGTAGAACCCAGTATTAGTTTTAGAGCTTTACTAGTAGGAAGAGGGGTGGGGGAGAAGAACCAGGCCTGGGAAAGGAGCACGTGCCGTGAGAGGGAAAGATGGTGGGGGAGAGACAGAGCAGAACAGAGAGAGAGAGGGTGGGGTCTGCGTCACGGCTCTTTAAGGCACAGATGGGCTTACAGAGCCACGCCACACATGCGCAGATTATGTGACCACGCCATGAATACCTGATCACCAGTTCACACTGATGAGGTAAGACTCAAGACCCTTTGCTTAACTCCTGAACCGCGCATGTGAGTGAGGGCAGAGTTCTAACAATGACTCCATCAATGGCTTAGTCCATTGATGAGATTCGAGCCTTCATGACCTCCTAAAAGCCTCCATCACCCCTGGCAACCAGCCCTTAACGCAGGAACCTTTGTGCCTGTGTGTGAGGGGTAGCATTGCATACCCAAATCACAACAGTGACTCCAAGCTGAAGCCCTCGTATGAGCACAGCTTGAAGCTCCAAAAGTCACACACTATCCTAAGTGTAGTCATGATTTGAGACCCAACAAAATCATAGAATTGGGTCCTTGGGTTAACAAATTGTCTTACAAGTTTAACCTATTGATTATAATGGAGATGGGAAAACAGGCTTGTTTTTTTCTCAATTCTGTGATTGAATCTATGAAACCTATATCAAACTTCCATTTGTCCATCTGTCTGTCTATCTGTCCATCTATCTACCCATCTTACACTGAGCACCTTTATTTTTTTGTCGTGTAGTGGGAAGCACAGTTAAATATAGGCAAACTCCATCCTTAAGCATCTTAAGGCGCACGCCTTTAATCCCAGCACTTGGGAGGCAGAGCCAAGCGGATCTCTGTGAGTTTGAGACTAGCCTGGTCTACAGATTGAATTCCAGGACAGGCTCCAAAGCTACACAGGGAAACCCTGTCTCAAAAAACCAACTCCCCCTGCAAAAAAAAAAAAAAAAAAAAAAAAAAATCCCACTTCATTGATTTATTAGCAGGGTCATTGTGGACCCAGTTGCTTAATCTTTCCGAGTCTCAACTTGCTCATGGGTAAACTGGGGATAAGAATCCCAGTGGTCTCTGGATTAAAAGGAGTCCTTGTTATGGTGCTAGCAAGGTGCCTGGAACATAGAAGAGTCTCAGTGAGTAAGAACGATCATTTAGTTCCCATTCAGTCTGAAGAGTTGCAGAAGAACAAACTCGCATGCTAAGAACTGTACTAATTTTATGTGGCAGACGAAGGAGATCAGAGAAAGAGACCCCTAGGCCTGTGGGCTGTCAGGGAAGGCTTCTGGAAGGGGAAGGCCATCTTGGACTTCCAAGGCATTTGCTTGGCAGACCAGGCCAAGGAAGAAGGAAGAACATGCATGTTCTCCTTAAGCCACAAATAGCATCCCTTTGCAGACTCGAGTCTGGCAGTATGATTTGGGGACCATAGACATCATTCCATGGCCCTTGGTGAGTAACATTGTCAGCAAGTTAGGAGGTCTTGGGGGACGTGTGATGGTGGGCGGTGACTGTAGGTGAAGTGATGGCATGGTTAGAAGTCTTCCACCCTCCCTTAGTTCGGACCTTGTCTCTTCAGATCCCTTTCTCTCTCTCACCCTCTCCTTCTTTTCTGCCCTTTGTCTTGTGGAGGGGAGAGAGACACTCTGCCCTCGCTGTTTGCTTTTCTTCTCCCTGCTGAACCTTCCGGTCTAAGGTCTTGCCTGGCTCTACGGAGGGAGGCTGTTTTTCCATGTGATCCTGGCGGTGTGGGGCATGGCTGTGTTGAGGTGGCCTTGCTTGCTCCGGTGATAATTTCTCCTTAATTGAGCGTAAAGAATGTGAGGAATGTGAAGCAGACCGCAGGAAGAGGGCTGTGCAGCCCCCTCAGGGATCCAGATTCTGGACTCTGAGATGGGAGAGCTGCAGCCAGCCAGCCGAACCCCACATAGTGTGTGTCCATTCTGGGTTCCCCATCTCCTCTGCATGACGTGGTGGTCAGCCCACTTCTCCAAGCCTTGGTTCTGCTCTTCTCTCTCCTGTTGCCAGAGTTCCACATTCATGTCAAACTGGCCATGGTCACCTCTCTTCCTGAGCATCTTTCTTGATTTTTTTTTTTTTTTTTTTTGGTCTGTGTGTTTTGTTTCTGTTTTTCGAGACAGGGTTTCTCTGTGTAACATCCTAGCTGTCCTGGATCTTGCTCTGTAGACCAGGCTGGCCTCAAACTCAGACAGAGATCCGCCTGCCTCTGCCTCCCGAGTGCTGGGATTAAAGATGTGCACCACCGCCGTCCGGCTTAGTCTTTCTTGATTTCCCAGCCCATCTGATATGAAGAATCCTTATAAATCTGTAATTCCAGATGGGACTCTAAAAGCTATCCCTCTGGGGGAGGAGAATGTTCTTGGCTGCTGAGATCTCTGGGACTGGGCTGTGCAAGGCTGTGAATGCAGGCTTGAACCCCCTACCTGTTCGTCAGTCGGGAAGTCACCTCAGAGGTGCGCGCGCTCCTCTGTCACCCAGGGGATGTTAGAGCACAGGAGAAAGCACAGGTGGAGGACATAGGCTTCTGCTCGGTCCCGACACAGCGTTAGCCATGGAGCCTGTTAGCCATGCAGCCCAAGGCGAGGTTTGAATCCTCTCAGAGGTTTTTTCCTCTTGTTGAATACTCTGGTGGCAGCCCTGGACGTGTCAAGGTGGAATTAGATTTGCTGAAGCCGTGTGGCACACCCAA